AATCATGTCGCTCGGCTGGTCATAGAAACGGGTCCATATGCTGCTTCCTGGGGTATGGGCTGCTGCTCTTAGGATAGCTGGGTCGACTCGAAGAAATTCTCGTTCGGCTTCGGAGTTCGGGGAGAGGAGGTCCTACCACGATTCGTTTGATAGGGCCCAGGTCTCTCAGAAGGTCTCGGCGCCACTGATGTCCCTGAATAGGTTCAAGTCCCGAGCGAACTGGTGGGCCCATGGGTTCGATTTAGCTTGAAACCTCCCGTGTTCATGTAGCGTCGGGGGTTCGCTCGGGATATGTCCAAAGATAGCGACCAGAGTTCGTCGGTGTGCAACGCGGTGACAACACACCGACTGCAACCATTTAGTTCTTCTGGCCGCAAGCTCTGCTCTTACTGGGAGTGTCTTCCAATGCTTTAGAACCTCGGCGTTACTCATGGCGGTCATGTGTGAGTCCGCGCGCATCGTCTTAGCTCTGCCTTGCATAAGGGCACGGAGGTATTTTACCGAATGGAGGGTCCAGCTTTTTTCTTCGGTTTTCGGCAAAACGAACGCTTCGAGCCCTGAAACTCCAGCCTCCAGCGCCTTCCCCAAGAAAATATCTCGTGTGAGCTTCCAGAGCCCTCTTTCATTCCAGAGCTTCCCAAGTTGACACCATCCCACTGTCATGGACCGGATGCGGATCGAGACCTCTAACTGATTGCTGGCCGTCATCGTGCATCTAGCTCCCAAGTGTCGTGCATCTGGAACTACCTGTCCCTGGGAAGAGGGGCATATTTCCTGGAGCTTCCGATTCCCGATGTGCGGTCCGAGAGCTGGGGCGATTTATATATATACACATATATATATATATATATATATATATATGTTTTTTGTTTAAATGTATTCTGTGCAGAATGCCAGTGTTTGAGTATATAATCGAACTGCTTGTCGCCCGATTGACTCATCTCCATTGCATCCTCGGACTTGCCTGACGGGCGCAGTCGTTTCTTCAGTAGATCATCCGCGAAGCCCGAGAGGGATACGTCCTGGTGGAAGCCCTCGATCTCGTCATACATGACTATGGGGTCCTGTGTAATATTTCGCCAGTCTGAGATGCAATCATGATAAACTCCAGTGAACTGCTTCGGCGCCTCGCTTGCACCTTGTAGGCCTCCGTGGCGCAATAGAAAAAAGCTTCCTCTTTGTCGCCCACTGGGATGAGTACTATGCTGTTCACCAATCTCTGATGCGCTAGAGCGTGCAAGTCTTCTCGAACGAGCTGATGTGACATATGAAGAAGATCTCCTGTGCGATGGCAAAGACATGCGTTAGAAAGGTCGTGTAGCTCATTGGTGTGGTGCTGCTTCGGCCGTCTAAGTGGCCACCCAGTGCGTCTCTGAACCAAGATTGCCCCTTCGCGTCGTCCATGTGCTAGAAATCCGTGCCGGGGACTTGGCATGGCGTTTGTCCATGCTCCCTTTTTGTCCCCCCAGCTGCAGAGCACGCCATAGAAACTCTTCCATATCGTGTCGGAGAGGTGAATGATGCGCTGACTATTCATCCCGTGCTTCTGATTCCGCTTGTCGAGAAGGACGCCCTCCGTGATGCTGCTCTTCGTCGGTGGCTGATTGGCCCGCAGGCAGTGCGCCAAGATCTCCACGAAGTGTGATCGAGCCTTTGTATACGCCGATGCAGCTTCCATGACGTTCTGGCGTCCGTCTCTTGCGCGGCCTCCCCCATCACCTGTTGACCCGCTGGGCCTGTTAGTGTGGTGGTCGAGACTGTCCAAGGACTGGCCTTGGTGTTGAGCGTTCCTGCTTAAGTCCAGCGCACTTCCTTGGCGACTTGCGGAAGGCGATACCTGCGTAGGACACAGAGGCTCTTCCCATTGTGGGTCGTCGTTGTCTGCGAGAGGGTCGTCATCCATGTCGAAGAATTCGAAAGGGTCCGCCTCCGAGTCGTCCGGGTTTGTCCGAGCTCGGCCCTGGGGGCATTGAGAGATGTCCATCTGGTTTGAAGTAGCCTCCACGAAGCTGGTGCCGATACTGGGTGCCGCTGCCGCGTTTACTGCAATAGCTGTGTCTTCCACTCCTGTAACTCTGACAAATTGCATCGGAGGTAGTCTGACATCTGGTCGATGTCCCCCCCGAGAGTCGGCGCCCGCTGCCGCTGGGCGCCCAGGGGGCTGAGGCGGCGCGCTGTGCGTGCTCTCGGGGGCTAAGAGACTCATGCCTTCAGCCTCCTCAGGAGGCAAACCATATCCCACTCCGCCCTGCGTCGCCAGTGACTTGGAGAGATATGTGGGGCCCAGGCTCGTCGACGCGATCTCGGCGGGGACGCTCCATTTAGTTGTGCTTCTGCGCTTCTTCGCTTTGCGTAGGCGATAAAGGAGCTGTTGTAATAGAACGCCCGCTGTCACTTCTTTCGCACTGTTGCGCATTCTGAGAAAGTCGTCCGCCTGGGGTGCCAAAAACTCGTTAATCTCCTTTTTGCGAATCAATCCGTGTTGCCTCCATGCCTCCTTCTGGTCCTGGTTGAGCGATGTGTGCTTCCAGTTCTGGTAGAAAAGGTTTGTAGCTTGGTAAATGACAACATATACTGTTTTTAACTCCCATTGCTTTCCCCGCCAGCTGTCGTGCAATGCGATGTACATCAGCTGCGTGTCCTAGTCTTCTGGATTCCACAAGGTCCTCGTAGAGATGTTTGCGGCATGCTGCATACCCTTGTCTTGGAGCACGACTTATCTGATACGTAAGGCTGCGGATCTCCACTTTCAGGTAGTCCAGGCATTCTTCGTGATATCCTTGAACTTGTCCGTGCTCCTGCCGCTGGTGGGCAATGTGATCTCGGTACTTCCGTCGTTCGTGAAGTTTCTCGAGCCTAACGCCACGCCATTGTTTTACTTCTGCATGATCTGGCCGACTGCCTCGTTCGCCAAAATGGTCCTGGGCTGTCTCGAGCAAGGTTTTTTGCCCACAGGTCGTAATCATAATCCGTGCGAGCCAACTCTGAGTACTCCGCTAGCTGATGTGTTATGCTTGCCATTCGGTTATCCAGATCGCGATGAAAATCGAGTCTACCCACGCCGCTCTGAAGTGCTTGTGCCATCTTCGTGTAACAGCGAGGGCGTGGGTTGTGATGAACATAAGTTGGCATCTCGTAACCGATCGTAAAAATAGGGGTAGGTGGTCTCGAGGTCTTGAATCTGGAATCATTTGCAACTGCCGTCCTCGCTGCCAGGCGACCGTACACGTTTGCACTCCATCTAGCAGGGTGGTCGGGATAATTGCCACGTCGATCGTGCTGGTCTCGCCGTCCATGCCAAAGTAGGTTGGTCCTGCCGATGGGTGATACGTGTTCAAACAAGCCATGACGTAAGAAGAAAGAATATCATATAGTCGTTGTCCTGCTTGTCCGCTTTTCTTCAAGTGATAAGTTCCAACATTGCATTCATCTGGGTCGCACTTGGTGTCCGAGGTCAGCTCCAATCCAAATCCTGAGTTAATATCAAATCCTCCAATTGGTGTACACCGTGAGGGCGTGCTCGAAATGCGCTGTTGAATGTAGTCCATCGTCATACTGATGCTCTTCATCTGTGCCTTCTTCGCGGTGCCCGTCTCGTACAAGGGTGGAGGGTAGCCCGATATCGCCATTATGTCGAAAGAACCCGATCTGATCCGTACATCTCCTGCTCGTCCCTCCAATCCCTTTGGTCCAGGCTGGATTGCTACGATATGTTGCCGTCTGAGCCGTCGTCCCATCACGATGCATGTGCCCGCACAATTCGTCACAGATGGTGACCGCTTCCATCCAAAATGAATCGCCGTCCGTCGCTCAGGTAAGTTCTGCACATGATAAAGTCTATCCTGCCACTCTCGGGCCCTCGTGCCATTCAATATCAGCAGATCAACGTCCATCACCTTTGCGATCTCCTCTAAGCGGGAAGTCTGAATAAGAACCGATGGGTTGTAAACCGCCACTCGTAAGAGAAACCTCATTGACCCCCCTCCACGGCTTGCGTTCACTCGTCGGAGGCGGGTGGAGGGTAGCGGGAAGGCGCGAGTATCTACGGGGCCTTCTGAACGCTGCCTGCTGCTTCGCTTGGGCCGAGGTGGCAGCTATGTCTATGTATATGTATATGTATGTATATATATATATATATGTATAAATATATGTAAATATGTATATATATATATATATTTATGTTTGTGTGTGTACGTGTGTGTGTGTGTGTGTGTGTTTTCTCTGCTAGTTTCCCACACGGCGTTTGTACTTAGGAGTCTCGCCTTGTCTCCCTACGGAATTGGTTGGTCGGTTATGTTGCTGCCACGTTGCCGCCCGTTGCCGCCTCGGGGGAGATGTCCAAGATCCACATTGCCGCCCATTGCCGCTCGTTGCTGCCTCGGGGCATGTTCGAGGATTCGCCACGTTGCCGCTTGTTGCCGCGTCGTTGCCGCTACACCGCGTGGCTTGCACTTCGGAAAGTGCAATACGCAACTCACTGCTTGGGATCCACGCTGGCAAACATGTGCTTAGATCCAACGTTCCCCCCGAAACAGTCTTTGCACTCAAGGGTGCCTGCAATCGGGCTGCCGACATAAGGGACGGAGAATTAGGAACGAAGCCTCTTTTTGGCCCCAATAGTGCTGGCGTGCACGAGAAGGGCTGGAGGAACAGCTCGCGACCTGCCCACGACCAGCCCGCGACCCACCCGCAGTGCTTTGGCGAAGATTCGGCGCCTGAGGCGGGCGCGCTGTGTAATGTGTATCAATCCGCGCCTGCAGCGCGCTTCTCCGGAGCCTCGCAGACTGCCGACGACCCCGCCACCCCCTCACTTTTGATCGCCACTGCGGGGGGGTATGGTATATATCTAGATCTGTATATGTGTATATATATATATATGTTGATTTGTATATGTATCTGTATATATGTGTATGTATATATGTATAGATGTATATATGTATATGTATATGTATATATGTATGTATATGTGTGTATCTATATACCTTTCAAAGAAAAGGAACCGAATGCTTTTCGCGGGCTTCCGCTCCTGCTGCACGCGCCAGGCATACTCCAGGTACTTCTGGATGCGGAGGGACAGGGTGCGCGTCACCCTGTTCTGCTAGAAGACCAGCAAGGAGCGACATAAACAGACGCATTTGGAGGCCTGCGCGGTTTTCTTGGGTCGGCGCTGGGGCCCCCTCCCGGAGCAATCTTTGCGTCGCCGCTGGCGCCGCCACCCGGGCGGCGGGCAGGGATACGGAGAGGGGATCCAGAGACCAGCCAACGAACACCGCGCGGACCTCCAGAAGTTTCTCTTTACGTCGCGTTTGGATCTTCTATCTTCGCCAGGTAGCGCCTCAGGTCCCAAAACAGAGTGGACTCCTCGGCGTGCATGCTGCGTAGCTGTGCCAGAGAGCTGGTAATGCTGCCCACGATGTATGAGAAGACGACGAGCGCAAAGATCACAACGACGATGGCGAAGATGCGCTCGCTGAGGTTCTCGGGTGATACTTCGACGGTAGCCGGGGTCCGCCGACCACCGCTTGCTGGGGATGGAAGCGTGTGTGAGACGCTTGGCTGCCCCCCTCCCCCCTGCTCCCTTCCCTGGGATCCGAAATCCCGGTAGAGGGGGTGGGTGGGAAGGCCGCGCTCCCGGGCGCACCGCCCTGGCCCTCGGAGCCCCCCAAAACTGGCCTCCGCTGCCTCCAAAATGCCTGCCCTCCAAGGAGGGCTCCAGCGCGCCAGAAAGGCCTCCAGACCATCCAAGACGGCCCCAGGACGGCCCAAGGGGCCCAGAAGACGCCCAACGAAGGTTCAACGGGGGCCCGCAAAGAGGCCTCAACTAGAAGCAATCGTTTCATGCACACGGGTTTTTGTATGATTTTCGCGCTCTCGTCATTCCAGTGGTCTCTGGACCCCCGAGAAAGTTGAGAAGCCTCCCAGATTGGCCCGAGACGGCCGAAGATGCCCCCACGAGGGCCAGGGAGATCGCCCAAGAGACCTCAAGGAATACCCAAGAGGCACCCAAGAGGGCCCCAAGAAGGGCCAGGGAGGTCCAAGAGGGAAAACTCGGAAGGGCCCAGGGAGCGACCCCCCAGGAAGCCCTCAAGGGGCTCCCCCCAAAGGCAACCTGGAGCCATGAAAACAATGCCCCCCGAAGGCAGCCTCCGCGAGGCCCCCGGGAACCCCCCCAGGATCTGTCGGAAGCCTCACCTCTCCCTTGCTGACGGTCGGCGGAGATGCGCAGGCCTGTTGGATAAATTGTGCGACGCTCCAGTGGACCGAGGTCGCGTACATGTAGACCCAATCGTCCCTGCCCGCATGCTTGGGGTTGGTGGTCCACGAGGGTGTGTTGCTGTCCTGATTGTCTCCGATCGCGAACCAAACACAACCGATCTGGTGGCTGAAGAGGAGTAGCATCACAATCATCGCCAGGATGTTCAGGAGGACGCTGGTGTGCTCTGATGTGGTCATGTCGTTCAGCGTGTCGAGTATCCTGCGGAGTTTCAGCAGACGGATGAGCCGCACAATCCGGGCCAACCGCGCCACGTTCAAGAATCGTGTGAACGCCTTGCTCGCACTGTCCTGGTGGCTGCCAATCAGCGACCCGATGGTGAAGGTCCAGTCTGGCACCAGCACCAGGGCGTCCACAGGGAACCATGTCCTCAAGTACTTCATCAAGATCCTCCTCGGAGAGAGGACTACGAGCCCGTGCTCCAAGTAGCCCTCCGTCAGCGACGCAGGCATGTTCAGCGTCCAATACAACAAGATGATCCAATCCATGACCCTGCTAAAATCAGTCTCGTCTGGTCGGAAAGCGTGCTCAATTGGCAATTTGAGCAGGTCGTAGAGGATGAGGAGGGCCCCGAAGAAGTGCCAGGCCACCCGGGAGGGGCTGGTCGGCTGCGCGACCAGAAACGCTAGCCATACGTGCTCTGTCAACGACGACGGCGAGCTGGGCGTCTCAAGAACCACATGGCTGCTGATCTGAAACTGCAGCGAGCTCTCTGCGAACATGTTGCGGCCCCTGGGGGAACCGATTACCAGGACCTTTCCCGGGGTGCGTTCGGACCAACACGTCGAGGATCCTCCAGCCGCGGCGACGAGAGCTCTCCAGGACGAGCAGCGGTAGTCGTACCGCTTCCTCCTCTGGGCCGTGTGGCAAACTGGCCCTCCTCCGACTCTGAGCTCTCAGGCCATCGCTCGGGCGTCCCGCGGCCAGCCGAGAGGACCCTGGCACTCCGGGAAGGCCCTCGGCGAGGCGCCGCTGCTGGAGAGCAGCCCAGGGACGAAAGCCGACGCGAGCGTCGGAACACCTCGCACCTCGCGCCGCGGTGTCGGTACACCCCTTCCCTCCCCGGAGCTCCAGTGCTTCTTGAGCTCGACCGCCTCCGTCGTCCAGGCCTCCAGCAGCTCGAAGTTCTTCGGGCCCGCCGTGTCGAACAGGGCGGCCACCGCGCTCTCGGCCGCGGATCCCCGGCCGCTGCAGGCCTGGCACGCGCCGCGGGCTCTGGAGAGGCCGCTGCTTGCTCGGCTCTCTTCGAAGCGCCCGAGGGAGGCCTTGATCTTGAGGGATGAAAAAACGACCCTACCCTGGGTTACAAGTGCGTGGTCTGTAAGCCTCCTGGGAACCCCCAAAACCTAGAGGACGCCACCACGCCGCACATCATGCAGGGTTTACCCTGTCAGCCCACAGGAGTTTCAGCGCACAGCTCCTCATAAACCAGGCTAGGGGCGTTTTTTGAGCCCTCGATGGTCAGGCCTTGGCGAACTGCCATCAGAGCTCTGTGCCAGCTCATCTCATCACCTCCTTCTCTTGCTAGTCTTCCGACGCCTACTCGTCTCCGGCCGCTTCCCGCCCCCGCCCCGGCGTCCAGGGTGTTTTCTCTCCTGCTGCTTCTTCCTGCCCCCCCCGTCTCCTCCTCCCCCCGTGTCCTCCTCCAGCGGCTTCTTCCTGCTGACCTTCCCTCCGGCCGCCCCCCGCCCCCGCCCCAGGCGTCCAGGGTGTGATTACAAGAAGGAAAAACGCTATAAACATTAGCTTTTTGGCGCTCCGCGCGGATTTCGTGGATCTGCGCTGGACCCCCCTCCCTGGTGCGCGGAGCGCGACAGGGGCGGCGCCGGAGGCGCCGCCCGGAGGGCCCCGGCGCGGATCCAATAAATCCGCGCGGAGCGCCAAACAGCTGATGTTTATGTCGTCGTTGATGCTTCTTCTTCTTCTTCTTCTTCTTCGAATGATGGGCAGTGCTGGGAACCCTCGCCTCTGCCTCCGCCTCCGCAGCTGCGGGGCGCTGCGTGCTGTGTTTTCGATCTACAAAAAAACAGGGGGCGGCTCCGCTGGCAGAGGCTCCGCTGGCCTTCCCGCCAGCGCCGCCCTCGTGCTCTGCTCCCCGCGGCCCTCCGCCGCCCTTTCTCCGCCGAGGAGGAGGAGAAGGAGGAGGAGGAGGAGGAGGAGGAGGAGCTGGCGGTGCGCACAACGGGGGCTTGGGGGAGGTGGAAGCCTTCTTAAAAGGAGGCTGTTTCTCAGAAGGCGCGGGCCGTATATATATATATATATATATATATATATATATATATATATATATATATATATATAATACCACTATATATACACATAGAGTTCTGGCCCGCGCCTTCTGAGAGGCAGTCTCCTTCTGAGAAGCCTTCCCCCCCTTTGTTATCCCCCCTCCCCCTGCGCGGGACCGAACCTCCTTCCATCCTCGAGGGGGAGGCCCTTTCTGGAGTTGGGCACTGCCTATTGGCAGGGCGACAGCTTGGGGGGGGGGGGTGTGGGAATGTCCGCCGTTTTTGTGCCCAAAGGGGCCCTAGAGGGGCCCCCTGGGACCCAAAGGAGCACGAAGGGTGCACGTTTCCCCCCCCCCCCCCCCGACTTCTCGCCCCCCAGTATCGGGGACACGTAAGACCCGGGTACGGGGGACTCGGAAATCCGCGACGAGGTCGTCAAAAAAATGACGAGGCCGAGCCTGCATTTTGACGAGGCCTCCCGCTGCAGACATCCCACGAAACTCCTCCTCGTCAAAATCCGAGGCGCGGTCGTCAAAAAACGATGGCGAACCCGAGTCCTGGCAAACCCGGGTCTTACGCTCCCCCGATAACTGGGGAGACAGAGCACAAGCGGCCACCGCGACGCACGCCCGACGTTGGAGAGCCCCGCGTCCTCCGCCGGGCTGCCGGCCCGCGGGGCCCGGGGCGGCATGGCTCCCGGCAGCATGCCGGCCAGCAGGTTGTCGCACGGGGCGCTGGGCGGGGCGCCCAGCGGGGGGGGCGGCGCCTGCAGAGAGTCAGGAGGAGAAGAAACACACAGACACAATTAATCCTCGATTCCCCAGAAAATATGGAAAAATATGGGAAGTGGGGGGGAAGACAGAAACCCAGAAAATATAGGAAAATATGGGACATACTTTTATTTGTGTGTATTTATTTGTGTGTCCTGGGGCCCCTTCAGAGAGGCGGGAGCAACGGCCCGAGCAGGAGCCTTTTGGGCCCCTGGAGGTCCGCGCGGGCCTCTGCTCGAGGGGGGCGGCGGGGCAGACAGCAGAGAGGGCAGGGTGGAGAATCAGCTCACGCAGCTGGTTTTCCTGGCGCCCCCTGGCGCCTGGAGGCGCCCGTGCATCGAGGACTGGGCCCGGCGGCGGGGCGGAAACCAGCTGCATGCAGCAGATTTCGTACCCCGCCTTTTCCCCTGCCCTGCCCTCTCGTCTGGCCCGATCTCCCGCTGGCGCGGGAGCAAGACGGAGCCCGAACCGGGACAACATCGGATCGGGAGGAATCGGGGATCTCTGAGAGCCGGCGGGCTGGAGGCTGCAGCGGGTATACCGCGGCCGCTCTGGGAGCGTTCTGGGGCGCTCTGGGAGCGTTCTGGGGCAGGCTCGGGAGCGATTTGTCCCGATCCAGGGCTCGCCTCTGGTGACCCCCCTTTGTGGCGACTCCGGCGCCGCCCCTCGGGCGTGCTCCGCGCCAGGGGGGGGGGGCCCAGCACGGATCTACGAACTCCGCGCGGACGTCCGAAAGCTGACGTGTGCCCTGTGCCGTCCTTCTCTCTCTCTCTCTCTTTCTCTCTATCCGAGCCTCCTCCTGCGGAGTGCAGCCTGGAGGCTGGACCAGGGTGGTTGGGCGGCGACTTTTAGCGGGCGAAGAGCGGTGTGCGGAATTTGTGCTTTGCCACGGGGGGCATCTGCCCCTGGGCGGCTGGAAAGCTGATGCCCCTACGGTGGCACCGCATGGGTGCCGGCTTTCTCGGGGCCCGGGAGCAGGCGTCCCCGACGGCGGAACAGCTCATGTTCCACAGGTCCCCGGGGCCCCGACGGCATGATTTTTTCTCACGACGTGGGCCCCCAGAGGTCTGGACCCCTCTGCGAAGACCCGTGCTCCGTCCTGGGCAGGCTTGTGGCGGCCCCACGGCCCGGCGGGGGCCTCCAGAGGCCCGAAGGCTGTCCCGAGCCTCCCGCCGCGGTCTCTTTGCGGCGCAAAAAGGGGTCCGGGCGTTTCGCCCGCTAAGATTGGAGGCCATCGGGTGCGATA